CAGGCGGACGACCTGACCTGGGATGATGACGTCCACGTATCCATTTCCCTGTGGGGCTACAGCGAGAAACTCGACGTCTACCCGAGTCTCACGTTTTTGGTTGAGTTGCAAACGAATCTCGAGAATAGTGGCAAATATGAGCTCGACTTGAATAGTCTGCCGCAGCTGCCGGCGCTTGACAACTATGAGTTCACCTTTGGTTTCATTGGTATTAATATAACGGGAGAGCAATGGAGTCAAACGTTATGGTCGAAGCCTACGCCTTTGGGTTTGTACTGGTTTTGTAGCTAGCTACTAATATTTATAAGTTATAAGTTTTAGTTGATTACTGAAACTGGAATTTATATATTTAATAAATAAGTTTATGTCACAAACAAAAGACTTTTTAAGGGATATTTATTACACACTCATTTTATACAGCGCTTTTTGTACCCGGGTAATTTTAAGTTCTTTTATACACATTCTATGAGTACTAATTTTTAATATAACTCTTATAATTAGCTATTTTATAAGTTACAAATTAACAGCTGTTTAATTACACACTCTTTAGAGCGGAATTCATATTCAACTTAAAACTAGACTTAAACTATTCAAACATCACATAAATTATAAAACGCAAAATATTTTTTTACACTTTTAAACATTTTATAAATGTATACAAATAGCTTAAACATAAGAATTTAAAATTTTGTTGACATCCCTGTCCACAATAGGCTGGTATATGAGGCCGTATTGGATCAAAGAGTACGGCCATAACTGGAGTGAGAGGTTTTGTCGCAATTGGTTTAACAGGGAGTCTGAGTTGGACCGGTTCGCCATCACAGTGTTCCGGTGCCCGTGCACTATGACCCAATCGGAAAGGGACCGGGGTCGATTCGCACCCGACCTACAGTGCAACGTGATTGACAAAAAGTGTGACACACTGCACCATGGGGCACTACACTGTGTCCGCACTGCTCGACCCTCGTTAGTATACACCTAATGTTTATTACTTTATAACCATGTACATATTAGCCTATATTAGCTCCATAATTATAACTATTAATTCCTGTATCTGGAGACCTATAATTGTTTTACTAAAATAATAGTAATGCATATAATAATTAATATACTTTGCATGAAAGAATCGGGGGTTCGGGTCAGACATGTTGTTACGACGATTACGGAGAGTTACTACAAACAGCAGACACTATGTACGGGGGCCGACCCTCCCGTGCCTTTGTCTATGGAAAACACCCGTTTAAACAGCGAGTTATGGTAAGCAATAACCATAGATATTATTAAATATAGTTTTTCTTAAATAGTAAGACAATTGTCGTCTAACCCTATGAATACAGGTGCCGACCCTATCCTACTGGTTGTACGACATAATGCCATTCTTCTATTGCTGCAAATGGGCGCCGGGACAGGAGAACAGTAAGACCTGCCAAATGATGAACTATTGGCGCACATCTCAAGACTGCTCCTCATACCAGACACCCGGCGTCGGTATGTAATCACTGATCAGCGAACCTAAAGTCCTTATAAGCCCTGTGCAACACCACAAATGTGCACTTCTTATCGTTATAGCCTTACAATTGAACACAAATTGTGTGAACCTATACGATAGAGCTTACCTCTCCCTATGTCTTAACCCTATGGACTCACGTATAACACGCGTCCACACAAATCCACCACATAATGTCATTTTCAGTACATAATAATGATTTAGTAATACATATAAACCATGGATATAATAGTACATCAGACACATGAACGCCTGTTATACGTGAGATACTGGAGTTTAACATACCCGGTCACTAATCTAGCATTTCAATTGATGATGAATAGCCACCGTCTATGGGGACCCCCATATTTTGACATTCGACCGGTACAACTACACATTCAATGGTAAGGGCGAGTTTGTGTTGGTTCACACGGACAACCCGGTGCACAAACTGGACATACATGGCCGGTTCGAGCAAATGCCGAACTTGAACGGCACCCACCTAACAGCGGTGGCCATACGCGACAATATATCATCGATAGTGGAGTTCCGGTTGAGACCGGTGGCCGCCCGGTGGGATTTCCAGCTCTACCTGTTCGGTGATAAGGAGATGTA